ATGAAAGACAAACACACAGGCATTCAAAGACCAAACAAATAGTAGTTTTGGGGACAACAAGAATAACAAAGTAATTCAAAGGTTCAGGCTGGGCCTTCAAAAAACACATTTGGTATGGCAGGGAAATTCTACAGAGAGGTAGATAAAATATTATAGGCTGAATAGAGCCACTGTTTGGTATGCAATTCAATACAGTATCTGACTGCCTTGGGATCACCAGTTTTTTTTTATTCTGATCTGTAGTATAAGCCTTCAAAGTATTACACACTGTATTTCATTTCAATTGTTGCTTAAGAATGGAGCTTAGCAGTACTCTGGGGTGATTCTGACTAGCAACAGGTAGATATTGGAGTGGGAGGCAAGTGCTCCAGGGACTGGAACATTCTTCTGCCATTGACTACTTCTCTGATGCTAGGTAAAACACCACCATTAGTATAATAGTGCTTCATCAAGTCACAGCTGATGTTCTCTGTTAGATACTTGCAAACATCACACTCCCATTGTGGCATGCTCTTTCCTGACAGGCATTTCTTGATGTATCTATTCTTGCTTTCAGAATTCATATGGAAGACAAATGTATTTCACTGGGCTTTTTGAGTTGAACATCTTTTAAAATGCTGATTTCAACACTCTGCCATGAATTTTAGTATTCTCAAGTGCAGTCTTCAAAGTGTTTTGTGGATGCTTTATGGTTGGTAATAGTTTACATGCACATGGAACAGGATTTTGCCAAAAAGTAGGATGAAAATGTAATAAATAAATAAATGTATGTGGAAAGAAGCATTTATTGAACTGAAGAGTCAGTGGAATGAGTCACACCAGGTGACCAGTCTGAATCTACTGCTTTCTAGGCCCATTCTGGTACAAAGAATGATAAAGTAGTGCATTGCTCTCCCAGCAGTGTTTCTATGTAATAATCTGAAGCTCACCAAGTATTTTTGTGAGCAGCACCCATGATGTTATTTTGTTTTTGTGGTTATTTTAGGATATGCACTAGAACCCACTTCTCTAGTGCAGATTGGATCTGCAAGAGGAATGAGCTGGTGCCTGACTCAGATTAAGCCCTCCAGTTAAGGACTTTATCTGAAAAGAGAATTTTTGCTGACAGCATTTGTCTTGAGGACTCACAGGGTATGTGGGGATATGAATTTGACAGTGAGAGAAGAAAATCTGCTAAAGCAGATATTTAGCACATTTGCACACTTGTTGGTCATGCATCCAGGGTTAGCTCTAAAGATGGAACTTCAAAGTTTTTGCCCATGCAGAGTCTGTGTGCATTGTGTGTCATTGCTGTGACAACCTGTGCATATTACTGCAGAGATGTGCTAGTTTCCCTTTGAATGTTAGGAAACTGAGATGTATGATTCATGCATACATGCCCCTTTTCTTGTATTGGTCTAATATCAGAAGCTACACTCTGCACATTGCTGTCAACTGCCAATTGAATTTTGGGAAGGTGCCAAAAATGTCAAGTAGTCCTTTCAGAGCTCTTTCAGAACTGGCTCTGGACAGTTCTCTGCCATTTGCTTCCCTCCTTTCCCAGCTGACACCTTTCCTTCCTTATAGGGACCCACAGGAAAAAAAGAATGTAGAAAACATTTTACTAGAAGAGTTATGAAATATTACGCTATGCTTACATTCAAGTTCAAAAAACCTAATCAAAGGAGGTTGAAATTGTCTGGCTATTCTCAGTGTTCATCACAAAAGCATCTCAGTATTGCCAACCAGTGAATTTACCACACATTCTTGCTGGTCAGGGGACAGAAACTCATCTGGAGTATCAGAGGGTAGAAAGGTCACCTCCCAGCAAGACATGCTTTGTGGTGATTAGAAGGATTTTGTGGGAGTTGCTGCCTAAACATCTGTGGTCCCTGCAACATATGATACATGAGGATAAGCCACTGTTAATCCTTCTTTCTGGCCTTAGCCACACTTCTGAAATGCATTGAAAAAATCGTACCTGACAATGCAAACCTATGCATGCTCACTTAGCAGTAAGTCTCACTGACCCTGCTTGGATAGCATGCCACAGCTCATTGTGGGCTGGTTATTTAATGAGCCTCTACAAATTCTCTGGACCAGAAAAATGGGAAGTGCACAACACCACAGAAGCCAGAAGCCATCCTGCTCGGGCAGATGGCTGAAGCAGAATGACAGGCTCACCTCTACAAGCTCCTCTTATGGTCTGAAATCATCTGCATATTTTCTTTTCATTTGTCCAATTCTCCACCACTTGTGTCACACCTACTGCACCACATGGTCAAGGTTGTTCCACACTCTACCTTAGAGAGACGTACCACCACTTGGTTAAGTCACATGAGCCAATCAGAAAGCAGAACACAAACAGAAAAGATCACCCCAATTAATTTGCATAACTGATTTAATGACATAACTGATTTGTTACTATATATGATGTAGGGCTTAAGCAGGCAGCACTTGAGAGTTGCCATGTTGTATGTAACCTGTGAGCTTGGGCTATACATAAGTCAAAAGCTCTAGCACAACCGTGAAAGATGCCAAGACTTATGTAATGATTGTTTAATGCTCTATAGGACAAGTGTGCTGGATTTGCATGACACAATGATACCTGACTTGTGGTTGCCTATTAAAAATTGTGGTTCCATGGACTCTTCCATGCAGTTTAAATAAACTATGGTGGCTTAAATAACCTAAGGTGGATTGTTATGTTCTGTGAACACCCCTACTGTGTACAACAGTGCTTACTTCCTAACAAATGTATTTAGTGTTGTTCAAAGCACCATGAAGCCAGCTCAGAATCAATAGTCCTACCTCATGCAGGGCAGGCAGATAACATTTTAAGGGTGGACTTATAAGATTTTTATTTATTTATTTAGATTTATAGCCCACTTTTTTCTTATAACAAACTCAGAGCAGCTTACATCATTCTCTTCATCCTGCTCTCAATCTTTGCCCCACAACAACAACCCTGTGAAGTAGGATGGGCTGGGAGTCTGTGACTGGATCAAAGACACCCAGTGACCTTCATGGCAATGTGAGATTGCCTGGATCCTAGTCTCAAACCATTACACCACACTCGCTCTTAAGAGGCTTTAAGCCTTGAAGTTTAAGTTGTCAGAAGGGCAAGATACAGGAGAAGAAAGCTTGGAAATAGGTAGTTCCCAGTGGAATACCAAGAGGTGACAAAATTGTTGTATTGGTAGAGAAGAAAAAAGAGGAAGACACAAACTTGCCAGCAGTGTCCTTGATAATGCTACTCTCTAATCCATTCTTTGCATAATTCCGCTTCCTCTCTTGAGAATCATGGCAAAAAGAATGATGCAAAATGAGATTTCAGTGAGATCCAGGAATTTTTTTAAGTACCTATGTCTCTTCCTTCAGGAAAACTTCAAAGCACCTATGCAAGTCCTCATGCACTGCTTTTAGCAGCTAAAACCAGAGTCCGAATGAACTTTTATTTCTTTAAGAGATCCATAGAAAAAATTCTGGGTACAGCTTCTCTTGTTTCTTTAGAACATTGATGAGGAAAGCTTTTTGCTAAGATGATGCATGCAATTGGAGCTGCTCAGCATTTTGGAAAACCCAGGCCTTATTTTTGTGCCAGAGCGGAAGCTGAGCTTTACAGAAAATCAGCCTGCATGTGCTTTCCTTTGACTTCAATGTGGAGCTAAAAGGAGCATGAGGAACAGGTTAAAGATAAAACACAGTTTTTTTGGTTGTTTTGCTTTCTATTTGTTTTTCAAGAGTGGCAATGAACTTTGGAAAATAAATGCCTTCTAGCATTGAAATTAGTCTGCTATATGCAGGTCTCTGATCCAATCAGGATATTGCATCGGGGCTTTCCTCCACTCTCTCTCTCCCGTCACTCTCTCAACACCTGCTGCATGGGCATATTGCCAATTGCTATTGTGTGGATACCCTTTGCCTCCGCCCCAACTGCTAAACATTTAATGGGAGAGCTGGCATTGAGCCCAAAGAGGGTTTTAAACTCCTTTCTGTAAGTGAACTCCAGGCCTCTCTCGCCTTCAGAGTCTGGGCACCCCTTCCGCTTAAGGAAGCATTGCCATTGTTGAAGATAAAAAGATGCCAAGCACCTCAATAATTCAGAGACATAGCTTCCTTAGCTATCCCCAGGATGTTGCCTAGAAAATCTTTATGCTTTGTCCTAGCAGACATCTTCAAGCACAGCAGAGAATGGCAAGACTAGCAAGCCTGGACAATTTCATTACTTTTCAGGGTTTAAGACAGAGACTGAAGTGCAGAGCCTTTCTGAAATTCCTAAGTAGTATTTAAACAGTGATTCTATTAGGTTACAGTCTAAAAAGACATGATTGATTTCAGGCAGGACTTTTGGCCAGTGCACTGCAGCTTGTTTTGTAGAAAAGAAACAGATGAAAGGAGAAAACAAGGTATGGGAAAGACATTGCAATAAGATTGAACTGTTAATCTTGGGATAAGATAAATCAAATGTGGATGTGATTGTGGCTATTTATGGACTTTGATCTAATAAAATAATTCATGAATGCATTCAGTTAATGGTTAAAAATATATCTATGAAATTTGGAAGAGGGGTTTGTGTGTGTGTGTGTGTGTGTGTGTGTGTGTGTAGGCAAATTATTTTATTTTGATGCCACAACATAGACTCACATTGATACCAATCCCATTGAAAATGAGATTATGCTGATATGACTGACTCTGAACTTGCATATAATTCTGCTAATAAGAGTCTTTAAAAACAGTAGTATAAATCAGATAACTGACGGGTGTGTGTATGACATTCAGTGTCTGGATGTCACACTCCACATAATATTATCTTATACTTTTTCATTAATCTCTTCTTTACAAAATTGCAAGTCTTCTCTAGATGCCCAATTATATTTATCATACAAAGCTAAGAAACCCCTCTAGGAATTGAGGAATGTTAAGGTTGTATTAATTAATTATGGTACTGCATCTGGAATGAATTAAGAGGTGTTGGGATTGGCCTTAAAATAATAATAATCAGTTAATGATGAACTTACGTATGGTGTAGAACACACCAACCACAGTGAGGGTCTCCTGAGCTCAGACATTCTCCACAGGTTGTATATTGTTCACAGGATTCTACAGGAACTTGGGATACCTAGGAATAAAGCAAATATTCAATGCAATTTCACTCATCATCTTTGCTCAGTAAATCAGGAAGGTAAGTCAAGCACAGCAGAACCTCCAAGCAGTTAATAAGTGCACACATTTTAAATAAGACTCACAATATCCCTGACAGGGTAGGTAAATATGTTGCCCATTTCTGTCACTGTTCTCACTATAATGGAAGGCAAGGTCAGTGAGGATGGAGCACAGGCTTCCGGTTAACCATGGTTATCAAATCAGGAACTAGCTTTGGGGGTGAATATTGCTTGCTGCTCTCCTGGATCAGATCTTAGGCTGACACCTTTATTGTTAAGCAGTATGTTAAGTTGTAAATTAACTAGGGTTTCCTTTAATCCAATAGCTGTAATCAGATTCAGACCATGGTTTCAGAGCCCTGTTGAAAAAGAAAACTATTTGATAGCTGCCTTTCAAGGCTTACAGCATAAAATATTTCATACAATTAAGGTGAGTCCTGCTATTTCCTTTAACCACAGAAAAGCCACTGAGGGGAGATGCTGCCATGAGGGAGAATGTGGGTTCACATGACATGACAAGCAATTGTGTGAGTGTTTTTGGGTTTTTTTTACTGTTTTTGGTTGTTTGTGTCATCTCTACCCCATCATGGTATTTCACTATGGTGCATATGGTTCTGAGAAATGCAAATAGAAACAATGGACTCTTCTATGGTCTCTTAAGTACCATAATTGCTTGTTGTATCATCTGAACCAGAAAATACAATGTGACATGGTACCAAGACAAGAACCATAGAGCCATTTGGCAAGAGCTGCCCATTGCTGTTCCTCTCAAACAGCTGATCAGAGAGTGCCACTGACCACTGCCATTTGGTGCAACTGGCAAGACCTTCTTTAGCCTGGGTAATCAGCTATTGGTGCTGAAAGAAGAGCAATGCTAGTCAGTTGATTCCTCCTTCTGACAACATGCTTCACCAACAAACTACTACTGAACTGAACTATGTCTTGGTTGAATGCCATCCTCCAAGGAACATTAGACAAGTGCTTCTGGTTATGCATTGCAAAATTCTGCAGGTTCCAGTATTTTTAGACAATTGTGGGGCAGTCCATAACATTTGGTGCCTGATGCAGAACAGCAAATACTCCCCTATATTCCAAATCAAAGTCCAGAATACCAAGACCAATCAAGTTATTTTAGAATTTAAGCCAAAAAAAATTCCACAGGTGCCTCTTTCCAAGCGTAAAAATGTAACAACAGGAGTAACTAATAGTCTGCTTCCCTTTTCATGACACCGATTTCAGGTGAGTTGCTAATTTAGTTTGGTTATATGCTGCTTTTCCACTGTGAACCCCAAAGGAGTTCATAATAAAAATGAACTGATCAAAATACATTAATCTATTTTTAACACAATTCAACAACAAATTAAAGTAAGTAAACAAAAAAACACCCCTATTTCATAATGCATTAAAATAACCCAGGGATAACACAAAACCATCATGAACAACAAAAGCCAACCCAACCCTAGTCTTGCTGCACCTTTATGGTTCTCAGCTACCTGGTTTACATACAGTTCAGGATTTTGGGATGGCATTTTCTCACTGGGTTACATGGTTCACCAATGGGTACCTTATTTCTCCTCCAAAGGAGCCTGGCACCAACAAGAGAGAAATAATAGAGTGTAGGGAATGATATTAAATTTTCACTCTGTGGGCAGTGATAGTAAGTCCTTACCTGTTGCCATGCAAACATTCACATGCATGAGATATAAACAGCTCTTGATTTTTTTAAAAGTCCTATTAGCTGAACTGGACTTGCTTAAAAACATTCTGAAAGTGGATCAGAACTCACCCATTTCCAGTTCAGCAGCGTACAGAAACACACTAGGTGACCTTGCAGACCCTTAGAGCTGCATGGATGTAAAAGTCCCCTAATAGACCATGTAGACATCAGGGTCATTTTACACATTCTAACCTACAAAACTGCTTTTAAGACAGTGGTCAGGGGCTTTTCAGTTAGGAAATGAGTGAGCATCTGAGCCAGGGAACTGCAGGACACAGAGCATATTCCTTTCCACACACATTCATTATCTTCTTGGGTGTCATACACAGTGCTGGAGCCAGGGAGAGCATGCATGGTGCTAGCTGTATGCCTATGAATTCCTGGCTGTTAGTAACCCTAACATAAGGGTAGCTTCAAGGCAAGCAATACAGTGAAAACTGTTATGTGGCATTTCTTTTTTTTGAGCAATGAGAAGTATTATCAAGGAGGCTGGCAAGGAAGCTGGTGAAAGAAGGGAAAGTTGAAACAAAGAGATGACCAAAGAGAATGGGAAATGGATGGGAAAGGCTGATTGGACACATGCTGCAATAAATTAAATGTTCTTAAATAAATTAACTGTCCTTTTGACAGATGGAGGCTGTTACATTTCTCTGAGTAAAACAGCAACCATCATAATGAGCCCTTGCAGCAGTAAGGCAGGAGTAGCTGTACATCAACCAGTAATGATGATACCACCTCACTGTCCGCTGGTACTTTGTGTAAGTGCAGAAAAGCCTAGCAGGGCAAGGGAATAGTGTGCAGCCTGTGCTGACAGATGGCCCAGCAGTCCAAGCTCAGCACATCAAGGATCAGTGCTTGGCACATGAAAAAGAAACCTGTCTGTTAGTGCCTCAAGCAGTACTTCTCCTGGCACTGCTCTGCAGCAAAACACCCGATCACATAAAATGCGGGGATGTGGGTCTGACTGGAGAACACTGTGTATCTCACATGCACTGTCACCTCATCTTCAGGAAGGTCTCATTTCAGGCAGTGGTAATAGCAAGATGTGGACTGCTAAGGTATCCTGCACTCAAGGTTAGTGCAGAACTGAAAAAGATGCATAAAACAGGGAACAATGATCAAAGGGCTGGAACATCTATCCTAAAATGAAAATTTAAAATGCTTTGAGTATTGTAGGTTTTTTTAAAACTGACTAAAAGGAAAAGGAGGTTTATACATTTAGATATGGTGCAAAGAAAGTGGATAGGGAGACGTTTTTCTCATTTTTCCATACTGCTGGAACCTGAGGTCAGCCCAGGAACCTGAATGGTAGAAGGTTCAGAGCAAGGCATTTTTGCACAGGGTACAGTGCTAAAATACAGAGTATACTGCCACCAGCTTGGATGGCTTTCAAAGAATTTGGAAGACATTTATCAATGCTTGTCAATCAAGATGGAGATAAACCATTTTCATGATCAGAGGAAATACTACTCTAAATAACAGTTGCTGGGGAACAGCAGTCTGGTTTTTGAGCTTCCTATTGGCATCTAGCTGACCACTGTAGGAAACAGGATGTAGATTAGATAGATCGGCCTTTGGTGTGACTCAGCGAGGCTTCTCTTATGTTCTCAGCAAAAAGGGGTTTGTGAATTTGGTTTTGGAGCTAATATTTAGTTTCTTCAAAAGACACAACATCTAGGCAGATTTCAGCTTGTACTGATATCTCAAAACTGGCAGAGTATGGTCATGATATCTGACCATGGGGTTGAAACTACTCACATTTGTACTGAGTTGGCTGCCATAGAGTTGTTCTTAGTCAGTGCTTGTTGCTACTTTGTGGTCTTGAAACTACCTTCTGGACCTGGGCTGACACCTAAGGTACTGGACACAGTACTAAAAGGGCTCCTGATCCAGTCATCTGTCCTGTGTGGTACCTTATTGCCTGAACCATCACCCAGAGCAGATGATAAAATACCAAATGGAGCAAATTGACATCCACAATTTTTTCTCTGGATCTTTGTCCAACATGGTTGCTAAAAGCAACCTTGGAAGGGTTGGACACTAGAATATTGGAAGTATCAAGTGCTGCCTTGAGGGTAGGGTAGCTGTGCTCCCAGATAGAGAAGCAACAGAGTGACACTTGCTTAAGAAATCTAACTTAGAGCGTGGATAACTACCATCAAATTTATAATTTACCCTTCTTGGGCCAAGTGAAAACTTATTTGGATTCACTAGATCAGTTGACTTGAAACTCAACATTAAGAAAACTAAGATCATGGCATCTGGTCCTCTCACTTCCTGGCAACTAGATGGGGAAGAAATGGAGGTAGTGACAGATTTTATTTTCCTGGGCTCCAAGATAACTGCAGATGGGGACTGCAGCCCAGAAATTAAAAGACGCTTGCTCCTGGGGAGGAAAGCTATGGCAAATCTAGACAGCATACTAAAAAGCAGACATCACCCTGCCAACAAAAGTGCGTATAGTCAAGGCTATGGCTTTCCCAGTTGCAATGTATGGCTGTGAAAGCTGGACCATAAGGAAGGCTGAGCACTGAAGAATTGAGGCCTTTGAATTGTGGTGCTGGAGGAGACTCCTGCAAGTCCCTTGGACCGCAAGGCGATCAAACCGGTCAGTCCTAGAGGAGATCAACCCTGACTGCTCTTTAGAAGGCCAGATCCTGAAGAGGAAACTCAAATACTTTGGCCACCTAATGAGAAGGAAGGACTCCCTGGAGAAGAGCCTAATGCTGGGAACAATAGATGGCAAAAGTAGAAGGGGACAGCAGAGGATGAGGTGGCTAGATGGAGTCACTGAAGCATTTGGTGTGAGCTTAAGTGGACTCTGGGGGACATTGGAGGACAGGAAGGCTTGGGGTCGCAATGGGTCAGACATGACTTCGTGATTAACAACAACAACAAGATCTGGATCTGAGTTGAGTTTCAAAGGTTGCAGCCTTTGCTGCCTTAATGGATAATGTATGTCATTCACTTAAGAAAATTACAAGATATATTTAAGTCTTCTTGAATGCCAATACTTAGCTATGAAAAGCAACAGCTAATTAAATACATCAACAAGGAGGTGCTGGTTCTACTCACTGCTGAAAGAGACAGCTAAATATTTGCTGTTCTCCCAGGAACCTGTGAACGAGAGCCTTGTAAAATGGACACATAAGTTTGAAAGATGATGTGTGAACATTGCACAACAAATGAGAACAAATGCACTAACTTTGAGCAAAGTATGGACAGTGTTGAAAGACTTCT